CATGAGGCCTGGGGGCCTGGGCAGTGAGAGAGTGGGGCCAGGAGCCGGGGGGCGGGGCGCTGCCTGGTGCTGCATCCCCAGGGACACCTTCCCAGCTCTCCCTCCCCCAGAGGGGAGACTGAAGCCCACCCCACCCCCTCTTCCTCTGCCCTGGGTCCTGATCCAGCCAACCCCTCTGTGGATGGACCCCGTGGGACGAGCAGGGCTGAGCCGTGGGAGGTTCTGAGGGGCCCATGGAGCCCCAAAGCTAAGCTCTGTGCTCGCGCCGCACCCCTCCCCCGTCGCTGCCCTTGCCTAGCCCCTCACCCCGGCGTCAGGCCCTCACCCCCAGGCCTCACCTTTGTGGCAATAGTCATTCACGTAGAGCTCCATGTCCTCCGCCAGCTGCTGCCACAGCACCAGGTAGTAGGTGATGTTCCCGTTGCGTTGGCTGGGCGGCTTCCAGCGCACGATGATGTGGGAGGAGGAGTTGGACATGGAGAGGACGTCCCGGGGCACCGTGGGGGCTGGACACCGGCACAGTGACGTTAAGCCCCAGAGAGCCAGGCCTGGAGCGCCCCCTGCTCCCTCTCCACATCACCCCAACTCTGATGCTCCCTGCATCCCCCCTGCATCCCACTGTGCCCCCTCATCAGTCGTGGCACCGTCTGCATTGACCTCTGCCTAAGGGGCTGGGTCAGGAGTGGGCATGATCCAGCTTGGGAGCCAGATCTGGCCCACTAAGCCATTTGATCATGCCCTACCACTCCCCCGCCCCTGGACCTTATTAAGACCTGGGGGCGGGGGAGTGCGCGAAGTCATTTGCTGTTCAAAGCAGCTGGCGGCTCCCTCCCCTTGCCAGGGCCTCACAGTTATTGAAGGGGAAGAAAAAAAAAGGTTGCCTGCCCCTTTAAGGGCGGCCATTTTGAACTCTGTTGTTCTCCTCGCACACTGGTTTTCAAACACACTGGCCTAGAGGGAGAGACCAACTGTTTTAAACAGCGAATGACTTTGGGCCCTCCCCCACTTCCAGGTCCCGATGGGTCTGGGGGCAGAGGAGTGTGTGAAGTCTCCTCCCCCTGCCAGGGGGCGTGGCACCAAGAGGGAACTGCCCCTTCTGCCTGAGGCCCCGCCCCTTCCACTTGAGGCCCCGCCCCTTCCAGGGGTGGAGCCAGCCCACGACTGCCTATCAAAATTCATGAAGTGGGCCCCCTGCAAAAATGATTGCCCACTTCTGGGCTGGATCCTGCCAGGCAGGTTCCGTCCAGAACTCCCATCCCAGGGGAAGAAGCCTCTGTCGGCCCTCACAGAGCAGGTCCCTTCCAAAATAAGCCCCCTTTAAGGTCAGGCAGGCAATGTTTGTAAAGTGCTCTAGTTGCTTTTCACGCTAGTCAGGAGGATTCAAATCCAGCATTATCAGCCCCAAGCACAGGCCTCCCCCCGTAGAACTAAAGGAGCCGCTGATAGCTGGTAGCAGTAGTAGGCTATTCTCCCCCCCCAGGACCCCCCTCCCCGTGGCCACCCTCCTACCTGCCTGCATGGTGCGGATGGACACCACCTCCCTCTTCGCGCCCGAGGTACGCC